CCTCAGGACAGGTCCAGGCACCCCAGAGCGCCGAGACCTTCTGAGTGTACCAGAACTTTCCTCAGAGCCTTCCACACCTACAGCTGTTCTGAGAGAGCTTTGCTTCTATTGCTGGTGTAAATTCAAGGCATTCTGACTYTGATTCTCATGCTTCTGCTCTCCAGTGTTCTGGAAAACCTGCAGGATAGCAATGGAGCCTCTGCCATGGCAGCAAAGCAGCACAAAATCCTGATGGAGCTGAAACAAGAGCAGGTAATGCTGCAGTGAGAGGAGCTGGGATTCAGCTCATATCCATGGGGGTGATGCAGCACTGCTGGTGCAAGTGGGGTTTGCATTTAAAAAAAAAAAAAAAATCACTTCGCGTCCATTATTCTGCATGTTTCYTACATTCAGTGAGGTGGGTTTTGTGCCAAAGTCAGCAGTCTGTAAATCTTGGATAAAAGAAAACATCTTTTTTTTTCTTCTGCTGCTTCACAGTTATTGTGGATTTTTCTGTTTATGCCGTAACAAACAGGTCATATAATGTAGGTTTCCACTGATTTATGCCTGTGCTGTTGAAATATATTAAATTAATCTGACAGCTAATTTTATAGTCTCAGTTATTCGACTGTGCATGGTTCATAATTACACTTTGTAGTCAGAAAATTTCTGTCCTGTCCTTATGTAGTGCAAGACTCTCCTTTACATAAAGGAATTCCTAGTGCAAACCATAAGCACTCTGTAGTTTTGAAGGATCTGGAGACAATTAAAYWRMAMTKYWWTTTTTTTTTTATAAAAAGAAAAAAATACACATTTTGAATTTTCAGGATGTTTTGGGATTAATCGTGTTCTATGTTAAGAAACATTCTACACAATTTTAAGTAGATCTCTTTGTTATCTTCACTCTCTTATGCTTTTTTCTTTCTCTGCTTTGCATAGGCAGAAATCCARCACCTGCAAAGCATCCACAGGGCAGCCCATCGAGAAAGGAAGCTTTTATTAAAACAGCAGAGAGAAATCTTAATGATACAGCATTCAACAGCACAACTCCAGGAAAAGCTGCACAGTTTGKCTGGGAGGCAAGAGGTTATGGAGCCACAGTCATGGACTAAAGACAGTTGTGTCCAGCTACAGAATAAACAGAGCAAGAAATATGAGGGGTAAGTAAAACTTTTCTCAGTGATTGCTGAAGATGGGACCCAATCCAGTGGAGAAGGTGGAGACAGCTATGTCCTAAATAGTTGTGTGAGCTTTAGATACTCCAAACAGAAGGTTTATGACAATAAATTTTGAAAACTTCTGTATTCAAATGGTTGACAAATCAAGATCATTGCTTATCATTCTGTCCCAAATGGTGAGTTCCTCAGGGTGCCTTTAATGATGCCACACAACTGTTAATGATAGTTTGTGTTTTCAGGAGGCTTTTAACTACAAACTCAAACCACTTTGCAACTATATATTAATTAGACTTCACAATAGCCATATGCAATGAGTAGAAATGTATTGATTTAATTGGTGAAATTCACTCCTTTGTCATCCTCTGGCTCTGAGCCTCTGTATCACTTAACCTCTCAGAGCAGGTTTGTGTTTCATTGAGGATTTAATCACAGAGGGATTTTTTAATCTATAGGGATAAATTTTATGCTTAAACTGAAGCATGAAGGTGTCATATAAAATGCCTACAGTGAGTTCTAAATCAGAAGTTTAGTCAGACTGAGAAATCACCACCCTCCTGTTCCCCAGGAGCTGTATCCCCTGTATCCCTGTCTGCTTCCCACTGGGCTGGAGGAGCTGAGCAGTGTGGRTGAGAGCCCGACAGCATCCACACTGCTCAGAACAAATCCCTGTTCACTTCAGGAAGAGAAAAAGCAGTTAAAGTCAAGTATATATCTATATGAATTAAAACCCTCTTTCATTCTGTGTTACCCACAGCTTCAGCAGAGTGGTGAGTCAGGTTTGTGCATTTACTTAAGTCCCCACAGGGAAAGGCTTTCAAATAAATCCCTGCATGGAACTGATCTATAATTCATGGTGTTATTGATTATAAGTCAGAGAAATCTTTAAAAGGTTTCTTGGCTGTGCTTTCACTTCTTATTACTGACAAGGCTGCTCATAGGAGAACAGTGAATATTGGTGTCAGTCTGGAGCAGCCAGGGGCTGGTGGAACTCAAATGCACCCAAATTCTGGCTGATTGTCCATAGATCTCTGTCCTGTGTAGCAGTGCAGAGTGGTAATGATGCTATTTATCCACCAGCATGGGTATATTCATATTTTATACTGATCAGGAACAAAGCAGGGCTATAAGGGGATGGAAAGGATTGGGAAATACTTTCAAAACTGAAAGCAAGTTGAAATAATAAATTACCAATGTGCAGAAAAAGCTGCTGGTTTGGGGTTCTGTTWATGAATGTTAGATACTAGARACAAGGGATACAGAAACTTGTAATTATTATAAATGGGGAMGCTTTTAACTAAGAATTTGGAATATATATTCTGAATTGGGATATGTTGAAGTCCKTAAACATCAGTGGTGCTCAATATTACATAAGCCTCCTTTTTTCACTTGCAAAAAGCATTAATAGGGATTAAAGCAAAAACAAGTCAGAAAGCCAACAAAACCAAAGCAAAAAATACCAACGTGCTTTTTTCTCTGGGCAGAACAACTTACTCAACTGCCTATTTTAGAAGTTATGGAAAAGCCTGTGAGTATGAATCATGTTGCCTTGTGCTTCTGCAGTAAGAAGAAAGTTTAAAGTCACCATCACAATCTGTATTTGCTGTGCCAAGTGTCCATAAAGTTGTGATGCTATACTTTAAGTAGAAAATTTAATGAGAATTGTTGAAATCTGATGTGCTAAATTAACTGGAAATGAAGACAAACATGTTCAGAGTTTGACTCTGGTTTTGCTTTTGAGGTGCTGATGATTTTTTCAGTCTTCTCCATTATTGTGTATGAAGAGTAGAAAACTGATTATATAAAATGCAGTAACAAGGGAGAGGAAGGAGAATGGAGCAATAAATACATTATTCAGAGTGTTTCTGGCTTTACTCATTTCCTGGTTTAAAAACGTGTGTGAACACTCTAGAGATAGCCATGGCAAATCCATAGGAAATCAATAAAGGTGCAAATKAAATGCTTCTGGTTGTGCTTAACTAACTTGGAAACACAAAACCAACTCCCAATCATTAATTCCTTGTCTAATTGTTTACAGCTTTTCTACTGAGAACAAGGAAACACTGGTACAACACCAGAAAGARGTGGAGTCGTCCCCAGGTTTGGAGCAGTCCATTAATGCTCAGGATAATGTTTCCTTACCYCTGGAACCTACAAATTCAGCTGGAATGGAACCTGTATCCACACTTATTACAAGAGAAGGCCAAAAGTGTGCATTTCTGGTAAGCACCACCTCTGGAATTACATTAATGCTTTAAGAAAGGGTRTCCCAGATTATATTTGCCTTATAATAGGACAAATACAAGACACATTTGAAAGTTTTGGAGTCAAAATCAGTCTTGTGTGTTGGTTATGTGCACTTTTTCCTTAAGACATTAACTCTGTCTCCTAAATATTTACATCCTAGGAATCTATGCTGGAGGAAAAGGCACTTCTTTCAAATCCAAACATTGATCCTAAAGATAATGAAGATAKTAATCCATGTGGCAGCAAGTACCCAATGAAAGGCCTGGGGATGGTTTTTCCATCGTGTAGCTTATGCCTGGTTCAGGCAGAAAATACTCCTGAAGGAACAGGTCAATTATATTTAATGCTATTATGTCCAATCTCTTTCAACCACTTCAATCAAACTTTAATCCAGACAGAAAGAGAGACAATCTTCTCATTTATTACTAAAGTGTCTTGTTCATTATAGCCAATATATAAATCACTGCTGGGCAGGATGGTAGGGATCTCTCAGAGGTTTATTAAGAGAGATGATTGTACTGCTTCCCCAGAACAAAATCATAACTTACTCTGATTGTGTCATTAACAATTTGCTCTTTTTTGAGGCAGTTTTTCAATAATTTAAGGGTGATGTTTTTAAAAGAACATAGATCACTTGAAGATAGACTTGGACAGGACATGCTGGAGTTATTTTTGTTTCCAGGTTTTATCCTCAGTTCATATTTCTTACTCTCAGTAGGACAGGTAAAAAATAAAACTGTCTGTTTATATATGAGTCAGTTATATCATTTACATAGTTCTGGGTATGCATAATCTCTGTATTATAAATATTTACATATTGTAGCAATATTTCCTATTTCTGTCATTTTTTTCTAATGAACCATCTTTCTGCATTTCATAGAATCATATGATTCCATGAAATATCCTGATTTGGAAGGGACCACAAGGATTATAAAGTCCAACTCCTAATTTATTCACTAGATATAGTGAGGAACACTATAGATTTGTGTATCCTAAGAGATCTATCAGCAAYCTCTTCTACAAAATATTCTTTAGGAAATGCTGATTTAAAAATACACTTTTAAATGTTCCAGCTAAAGAAGTGGAAGTGCCYGTGCCTTCTGAGATCCATCAGATGGATGACAGTCAATGTTTGAACAATTTGGACCATATTTCTCATGAAGCTTCTGATGAAGAACTAAATTTAAAATCATTTTCTGAAGGATTAACTTCTACCCAATCATCGTCCAAGTCAAACAACTACTTTTTGAAATGTGAAAGTGCCAAATCAGGCTCTTCACTCTCAGAATTTCAGAAAGTGTCTGCAGTTTTGATTGAYATCTCAGAAAGTTCCATTTTAGACCAGGAACTAGAGCTGAAGCATGAAGAGGACACAGATGTCAGTATCCCAGAAGAGTTTGTCTATGACAGGGGTGATGTGTTTCCTAATCTCTCAACAGAGATGCCAATAGCAATAAGCAATGAAAAGGAAACATCACCTCGTGACAAGCACGATGAACGTGAGCTGCATGAAGATGACAGAGCTGAGACTTCATCCCACTCCCAGAAATACTCTGGAGATGCATTGGATCATGGCTGCACTGATGGCTTGCACTCTTTCATTCCAGCAGACAGAGCAAATGCCTCCAGAGCCAAGACAGAACATTCCTCCCAGTCTGAAAACCCTTCTGAGGGAGTGGATGAACCACASCTGGRTGCCTCACAAAGCTGCAGCAGAGAYAAACCCTGTTCTCAGGAGATMCYGAAACTGGGGAACAATTCAGCTGCCAGCCCTTCATGCACTGATGCAGCCTCTGTTGGTGATAAGGGTCTCCCTCCAACTGATGATGAYACCTTGTCGGAAATACTGTGTCCTGTGGATGAAGTATTGTCCTCTGGAAGTGCTGACTTGCTGTCCTATGACAAAAAGAATTTGTCATTTCCAAGTGAAGATCTTCCTCCTCTCCCTTTAGGTGCAGATGCAATGAAAAATGATGATCCTGCCTCCAGCACGGATGATTTCCCATCTCCACCGGAACAAATGACAGGCTCAGAGCCTAGTCAGGGTGTGGATGAAGATGTATCACTGAAAATGGATGCATTACCCCTATTACCTGATAACATCRTGCCTGAAGAATTTCCTCTGCTCAGTACAGAGACAAGAGGTGCTTTTTCAACTCGGGATGGTCATGTCTCAGAACAGTCTACACTTACAGCCATTTCCAGCTCCAAGGAGGGTTTATCAGAATGTCAGCATGGACAACAGGACATATCTTTGCAGCCTGTGYCAGATACCATTTCTTCTGGTGGAAATACAAGTCCTGAACTCCCAATGAAACAATGCAAAGCACAAGTATATCTGCCCAGCACTCAGGAGGACAGTGATGACCCATTATCATCATTTGATATTGGGGACAGAGTGTTAGTAAAGAAAACCCAGCCTGGAACTCTGATGTTCAAAGGCCGGACTCATTTTGGCAGTGGTCACTGGGCTGGTGTTGCACTGGACAAAGCCAAAGGTGACAACAGTGGAATTTATGAAGGGGTGAAGGATTTTGAGTGTGCTCAGCACTGTGGGGTCTTTGTCAGGCCTGATGAGATTTCACATCTGTTGGGGGCTAACAGAAATAGTGCCAGTTACATGGAGGATGAGGACTCTGACTCCTTCTATGATGATGATTCCCTCAAAGGAGACTGCACATATTCTGAAGATGATAAGCCCAGAGTGGGGATTGCAGAGGAGAAAGCAGAGGACACAAAAAGTGCAAGAGGTTCAGAAGTAAAAGAAAACCAGCCTAGGTTACACACTGCCTTGCTGCCTGGAAAAGGGCAAGAGTTTCCCCATTCCAACCAGTGGAACTGTAATGAATTCCTCTGTCAMAATAACTTAATGTGCTTGGGATCAGATAAAGAAAAAACAGAACTGGCACAAATAAAACAAAGGATATTTGCAGATGCACTTCCAAACAAAAGCAAGACGGATGAGGTAAACATGAGCAAAAATATTTGTTGCTTGGTAGAGGATCAGAAAAGAATTAAACTTGCTGATGATATTGCAAGTGAACTCAGTAAAAAACTTCTGTTTGACATTTTAATTGCATTTTCTGAAACAGCTCAACACAAATATAAAAGTGCCTTTGAAAAAGACATRATGAATTATGGCAAAAGCCTAAGGCAAGAAGACAATCAGAAGCAGTTTCCCCTCAAAGAAAATTCAGTTGCTGCCTTATCTGAACCATCAGCAAACATTTCTGATGTTTTACTGGGTGATTTTGATACTCCTTGCCACAACTCCATTCATGGTTGTCACACAGTAACAGACAGAATTGTAACTAAATTTATAGAAGATGCAATTAAAGAATATAAGAAGATTAAAAGAAAACACAGATCAAAAGCAGACAAGGGACTTCATTTGTCTCCGGAGAYTTCTCCAACCTCTTTGCCTGTAAGTACAGTGAGAAAGTTTGATTTCAAGTGTTGGGCCTGAAGCTGGGTCTATAGAGGCAAGAATTTGTGTGGCCCAGTTTTTTATCATCCATAAAAATTATATCATGTGAACATTAGGAATCTGATGACTCATTTAATGTGACCCATTCCACATTTAAGCAATTATCCTGCACCTGACGGCTAGCATATATCCAAACAAAGCAAATGTGACTTTTTAATTGGAATTTATCAGTTGTCAAGACTTGTAAATCTGCACAAACTTCCATTTTTATAACTTCAGAKTAAACCTGGACACTTTTCAGCTCACCTGCCTGACTTTTCCAGCCCCTGGCTGTGAGAAAATGGCTTTGTGGGTGGTGGTGGGGAGAACAGTTTCACATTTAGAACAAAAATGTTGTTAAACATCAAAAATTTTCATGTAACTCCAGAATTGTAATTCTTTCTAATTCTGAATTCTGCCAAATGCAGTTAAAATAGATTTGGATTTGTTGGTTTTTTTTTTTTTAATGACACACTAGTAAGCCTTTCTTTGAGCCCAAGAAAAGACGGTTTGAGGTGTAACCTTAATCAGTACCTAATACTCTCAATACCTTTTGAAAATATGGAATATGCCATCTGGCTTTTCTTTATCTCTCTTTTGAAGTTCCTTACAAAAATCCTTGATGCTGGCATTTTTGGAAGTTCTGATGATTTTGATCAACCCTATTCTGACCAAAACACGCTGGTGAAACAAACACAAAAGCAATACTTATACAAATTGGATCAGTGGCACTCAGCTCCTTGGAAGAAAACTGTGGAAGTTCCTCTTGTCATACCACATAACAGTTCTTATGTTAAAAATCTGTCTGCATATGCTGTGGAAGAATTATGGACCCCAGAGAACATAAATTCAAATTTCAGGAACATCAATGTGCCGAAGTACTTTGAATATAATGATCTCCCMGGGAATGATTTGGAAGCAGAAAGCAAGAGGATGTATAATCAGGTATTTTTAAAGCACTCACTGTTAATTAACTTTYCTAGTGTTCTGTAAGCTGTCTCATATTAGCTAATATTTCTATTATTCTAGYTGTTAACATTAAATATAACTAAARRGACACTGAAAGGTACTACCARGAGTATTTTACAATCTGCTGCAGARTAATTCCAGTAGAACAGTTGTCCTTGCAGTGAATCCAGACTTTCCACCATAAGATCTTGGACACCTGACCAGTGTCTGGTTTGGGTCTGTCCAGGAAAGCCAAGTTTCATGGAAAACTGGGGACTGGAATCCAGTTCTCCTGACTTCAATGTACTGAGTTTGTTACAGGTTGTATTTGATTTGAGCCGTGAGTTGCTGTGTGCAGAATATCAAGTGACTGCAAAGCCAAATACGTTTCCATGGATGAAAAAAAATATTGGATCTCACTGTTCCAGGCATCTCTGCAGAAGGATGGATGTCAGTGATGTCAAGGTATGTTCTGGCAATGTAAAGYACAGGAACAAGAGCCAGTGAAGAGAGCAGATACTGCAATGGCAAAAAGAAACGTTGCATTTGGGAGGATTATGGCAGTGTAACTGAGGTGATTGGAGAAAACAGTGTTATTCTGAAAGGCCTGAATAAATACAGGCTGAGCTGATTTGTGAAAATATACCATATATATGGAGTTTTGTATACCATATATATGGAGTATGGGAATAGGCCTTTAAATCCTCATAATTATGACTACTTTGTCCGTAACCTCTAAAGTAATATTATGATTAAAATGTGTTGTTTGGCCAGTATTGACCAGCTACCTCTAGATTAGTCCCCTACATCTTGGGATGTTTCTGGACTTAAAGCTGGATCTTCACACTGGCACCTGTCACTCATCTGGAACTTTCACAGCTCCAGAATTCCTATGAGGAGAGTTCTTTTCAGCCTTCTTTATTTTGTAGATGTTTGTTCAGGGTGAAATTATTAAAATAATGAACCTGGAAAAGAATGACTTAGAAATGAAAAGAAAATTCCTAAATATGACCAAGTATGGAAACTGTAAGAGAGACAGAGTGGACCTCATCCTGGTAAGCAGATTTTCCAAGGGGGATTTATTTCCTCTAGGTTTAARCTAGTAATTCTCATTCTTTTGTGAGAATCACATTTACTTAAATTAACTTCAGAACTTCAAATTTATCACCTTCCTTTCACTGCAATAATAATCCAGAATTTCCAGTTCATGTGAGTGGTTTTAAATTAAATTAATTAATGATGGGTATATAAAGCTGTTGGATGAGGTGTAGTGTCTCAGTACTTTTGTGAACCTTATTCTGGAAGTAAAAATTCCTTTCCATGTTGTATTTTAGATTCAGGAGCTCCGCAAAGAAGAATCTCAGTGGACTTCCTATGGTGATGATGAATTAACAGTGAAGATGAGGATGACTGAAGCCATATTTGATAGCTTGATCCTTGATACAATCAGCATTCTTAATGAGATTTATCCTAGAAAAGCCTGTTTTAAAGCTGACTGTGRCACTGGTTAAAAGGAGCCTGGAGATGGCTTCAGAGAAGTGGCAGGACCTAGAGCCAGACATTCAGGTTAAATGTCTATAATTGTATGCAAATGAGACAAATACTRATGTGATGCACTTTAAATTGGAGACTTTTCTACGAGCAACTTCAATTTCTAACAATTAGATAGGTGCCTGTAATTGGGTTATTTATCATGCAATTCACAGGAGCCTGTTGAATTTTTACAATATCTAAATGTGGGGTGCTGAGAATGTACTTTAATAGAYAAAACAGAGGAAATCAATGCTCCCTTTGTATTGGCAAACAGGAAAAATCAAGACTCTAACMAGGAAATAGAAGCATTCTCTGAGGATGGTAATTGGTCACTATGTAAATTGCTGTGGTTCCACCTATTTTGCATTGAGGAGAGCAAATTTTTATTAGTTCATTTTAAAATAAATACTGCACAAATATTTCTTASTGGAATTCAGAAACTGTTCATTATTGAATAATTGGTTGTAAAGAGATCAGTTTTTTTCTCCAATCAATTCAGGGCATCTTTCAAATTAAATTAAAATCAGGATAAATAAACATAAATTATGAACTTAGATTTTAAAATACAATACTTAACAATCTTTTTAAGGGGAATAGAAACATATTATATATTTGTATTTTTAAATAGTGCTGGCTTAGTTGTCTTTGTACTTGTTTTCTGAATAAAYACAATAAGCCGTGTGTATCGTATTTTATTTATTTTCACTTATATTAATTAGAATTGCAGATTATATTGTCCCCACTGCTCTTCTCAGCAGTGAATGGGTGCACTTTTGTTTTGCTGGGCACATTAAACCCTCCCCTGYTTGTTGCCATATGAACAGAAATAAAAAGGCAATTTCTGCCCCCAGCACATTAACTGTTGATCTTATCCTATAAACTATTTCCATGTCTCTGGTGCTACATTTCCTTGTCTCTTTTATCGTCATTGATTAGTTAATCCATATAAGTTACTTGTTTTCTTGTTGCCAGTTTACAGCAGAATTTAACTGGTTTATTTTTTCTCCTGGACATACAGACTGCTGTACACAATGACAAATCTATAGATGGCAGCACACAGGTTTTTCAGTTTATTCTCACTCTGGTTTTGCTGCAGCAGCAGATCCTTGTGTTTGGAATGAAAACTATTAAAAATATCAGTTAGATATTAATAAATAGCTGAAGGACTTGTTTGATTTCAGCCTTATGTTCCACCTGAGGCMGATCCCCATCGGATTTGCAATGAAGGTTGTGAGTCAAGCCTGAACCCTTGCACAATGCTCTGCAGGGAAGGACACAGCTATAAAGAACCTCCTGCTGATGAGAATAAAAAGTGTGTACACAGAACATGTCAGACATGTTTAATATCCCCCACCATTCTGTGTTCAAAACCTGAGATTYTGGCACCCAGATATATTGACCTGTTCACTCAGTAGCAAGGCTTCAATATCAAGATTACTCTCCTTCAAGGTCTAATATTTTGTTTGCCTTGGGTTTGATCAATATTAACCTCCTGGGTCAATAAATCTTGATACTAGCCTCAAGAGGAGTCATTATCTTTCATAGAAAATGATTATTTCTCAGTTAAACCCTACATTTAATTCTCCTGTAATCCATCTCTTTCATCTTCCTGCGTTTAACAATTCTTCTGAATAAAATGTGCTCTAAAATATCRTAGGCACAGCAGATTTTTAAAATCCTAATTAGCAGCTGTTTCGAGATTTTTCAGTTGTTGGTAACTGTTGGGCTCTGCTGCTGTAACCATCTATTTTGTTGCTTGCTTTTGTACCCAGCAAAAATACAGACAGAGAACCCCAAAGCTGGGATGTGAGAAACCATTTAGGTTGTAGTTGTGGATATGGATCAAAACATACGTGTCTGAACCACTTCAGATATTAACAGTCAAATAAAAGAAAGGATTAGGAAAAGGCAAAAGTGGCAGAATTTTACTCTTGTACTGTTTGTGGCTTGCCGACCACAAAAAATGATAAGTTAGGCCCTAACTTCTCGTTAAAGTAGTGAAAATTCTTGAGCCTGTATTTAGAAATAAAAGAAGATTTCCATAGCGGGCTAGAGCTATAAAAGGTGCTGAAATCCATTACTAGTACTCATCCAGCCTGAATTTATGGACAGAGCTTCTGTAAAGCTGCCCACGCACAGCCTTTTATCAGAGCTTGTTTGAGGAGAGACGGCTCTTCCCTGCTGAGACAGGTTCTTTGGGATGAAAGAGCTCTCGACCCAAAGGCCACCCGGCTTCACATTTCTACTCAGTCAGAAGTTTCGTGAAGTTAAAACTTCTCTTTCTATAGCAATTGTCACAGAAATTTGRCCACTGAGTGATCTCACAGAAACCCGGAATGGGTAAGACCAGAAAGGACCACAGTGGGTCATGGAGTGCAAACTCCCTGGGGCAGCAGGGTCATCCCAGAGCCCATGGCACAGGATTGTGTCCCGATGGCTCTGAGGTATCTCCGGTGACTGAGTCTCCACACCAGCTCTGGGCAACCTCTTCATGCACGGCCACTGGAGTGACAAGTGTTGTTCCAACACCTGGACATCACTTAGAACTTGTTGACAGCTCTCCGATTCACCGATCAAATAAAGCATCAAATAACATTATTTTAAAATAAAAACGTTACATATTCCGTCTTTTACAACGCTCAGGGGACACGGACAATCCCCCCTTCCGTCTGCGGACACGGGACGGTCCCCTCAGGGACACCGCTCCCCTGAGGGACACCGCTCCCCTCAGGGACACCGCTCCCCCTCAGGGACACCGCTCCCCCTCAGGGACACCGCTCCCCTCAGGGACACCGCTCCCTCAGGAACAACACACCCCTCAGGGACCCCGCTCCTTTCAGGGACACCGCTCCCCTCAGGGACCCCGCTCCTTTCAGGGACACCACTCCCTCAGGGACACCGCTCCCCTGAGGGACACCGCTCCCCTCAGGACCCCGCTCCCCTCAGGGACACCGCTCCCCTCAGGGACACCGCTCCCTCAGGCACATCGCTCCCTTCAGGGACACCGTTCCTCTCAGGCACACCGCTCCCCTCAGAGACCGCGCTCCCCTCAGGGACACCGCTCCCCTCAGGGACCCCGCTCCTCTCAAGGACACCGCTCCCCTGAGGGACACCGCTCCCTGAGGGACACCGCTCCCCTCAGGCACACCGCTCCCTGAGGGACACCGCTCCTCTCAGGGACCCCGCTCCCCTCAGGCACACCGCTCCTCTCAGGCACACCGCTCCCCTCAGGGACCCCGCTCCCCTCAGGGACACCGCTCCCCTCAGGAACACCGCTCTCCTCAGGGATCCCGCTCCCCTCAGGAACACCGCTCCCCTCAGGCACACCGCTCCCCCTCAAGGACACCGCTCTCCTCAAGGACACCGCTCTCCTCAGGGACCCCGCTCCCCTCAGGCACACCGCTCCCCTCAGGAACACCGCTTCCCTCAAGGACACCGCTCCCCTCAGGGACACCGTTCCCCTCAGGAACACCGCTCCCTCAGGCACACCGCTCCCCTCAGGGACACCCCTCCCCTGAGGGACCCCGCTCCCCTCAGGGACACCGCTCCCCTCAAGGACGCCGCTCCCCTCATGGACCCCGCTCCCCTCAGGCCGGGCCGCCATGGCCGGCGCGTTGCTATGGCGCGGCCCCGCCCCGCCCTCTCGGCGC